CCCCTGTCGTCGTGGCGTGGGTGTCTGGGGAGGGGAACACGGGGCACAGTGCACAGAACACGTGCTGCCTTCCTCCCTTCCTACAGCTGGGAAAGTTAAACAGGGAGATCTGAACATGGAAAGAATTGCTTACTCCCTTTTTCATTCTTTCCTGCATTTGGGCTTTTATAAAATCTGAATCTGGCACCCCCAGTTCTCATTGACTTTTAGGAAACAGGATATTTTAGTAGCTTGGAATGAGATGAAATGCTTGCAAAGCCCATATGTTGCTTGTTTTAGGGAAAGGGTCAGGAAGGTTTTAGAAAGTATTTAAGTATTTGGTTTACACGATTAGAATAGATCGTCTGGAATGAAGTCCATTACCCGAGGTGATTTTTGCCTCGCAGTTTTGGTTTTCATTGCAGTTCTTTGGGGTATGAGGTAGGTGTTCTGGCAGCACAGCACCCCAGCACAAAGTTAAGGGCTGTGAATAAATACTGTAGCTGGGATCTGGCCACTGCCGGAATTACAGATACCTGCTGGGCTGTGAGCTGCAGTCTGGGAAATGCCTCCCGGTACAGCAGGTGGTTGCCAAGTCTTCTGATGCCAGTCTGTGGAATCCCAGCAGCTCCTTTCTTAGAAATGGGCCTTTTCCAGTCTCCATAGGCAAAGCTTTTGAGTTGGATTACGTTTCTTGAGAGCTGCAGCCTAACTCATTTTAGGTGTGTTTTTAGCCATCTACAGCTTGGAATTTAATTGTTCTGTCCTCAGTTTTTCATGAGGCGTGATCCTTCCATGATCATTGATTATGGAAAACAGGGTCCTTTTTTTTTTTTTTGGAAGGTATTCCCATGAGACTGAAGGTTTTTCTATTCTGAAGGTCATTGTGAAAGAAACAAACTTTGCTGCCTGATGGTTCAGTTGCTACTCTGGGTGCCACACTTGTACCACCCAACTGTCACTGCTGGGTCCGAAGCCCATCTTACCATTCAGCTTTTGCTGTGCATTGTTGATATTTTTATATGAATTATGAAGCATCCTTTGATATCTGGCATTTCCCCTTGTGATCCTCTGTTCCTTTTTATGAGTACTTGCCCCCTCACTTCAAAAGCAGTTCATCACCTTCCTGCAGACAGTTCTTAACCAGTTTGGAACTGTCAGGCATTCCTGGGCCTGTTTTATGTGAGTTACTCTCCAAAAACATTCAAAAAGCGGCCATAATGTGCACAGACCTCCAATCCCCTTCACCTGCACGTGAAAGATCTCCTCATCACATGCTGACTAAAAGAGCAACTGAAATGAAGAGAATGATTAAACCTGCCCTGTCCTGAGCTGTTGCAGTGGGATCATCCTAAGTTGTCTGGAAGTTATTGTATGCTGGAGAAAAATATCTTTGGCATTGAAGCAGTACTGAAGCAGTGGGTTTGACTTCAGCTGTGGAGGGACAGCCTGGAGCCCTGTGCTTGGCCTCACCAGGACCGTCCAGTCCTTCTGCAGCACCAAATCACCTCATCGCTTCCTTTTGGGGAGGAGGAAAGCTGCTTCTGGTGACAGTTCAAAAGCAAGATAATTGGCATGGGGATAGTTAATGCAAGTTGCCATTCCTTAACATCAGAGATTCGCTAAAGTACTAATAATTACTGTTAATATCTTCCAGTGGAAACTTTCTGAGTAAACGAGCACTGGTTGAGGCAGCATTTAACGGCCGCCGCTGGCATGATCAGAATGCAAATAAGTGTTATTAGCCTAATGATTTTGCTGTCACCACGGTGTGCAGCAGTAGTGTTGTGAATATGTCATGCAGTACCCGTGAATTTGGAAAGTGTGTCAAAACACAACTTCAATTAGTTTGCTCTAATTATGACTCTAGAGAGTTCATAACTATATATCACTCCTCATTAAAAGAGATTTTCTCGTATGGATTAATACAGCACATGAAGGGGTGTTTGAGCGATTGGAGGCAGGGCTGTGCAGAGGGAGGATGCCCATGGGGTGCTGGGAGGTGCAGCAGGTCTGGAGCAGCACCAGGGTCCAGCCCCATCCCATGAGCTCCCGGTGCAGGACCAGAGCTGGGACACCTCCCAGGCAGGAACGGGCGGCTGTGCCAGGTCAGCTGTGGGTGGCAGCTTCGGTGTCCCTCAGCACAGGAGCCTGTTGGATGGTTTTGGACAGGCTCTTCACTTGAAAATAACCAAACCAATAACAAACTTGAACAACAAGAAACCCCAAACCACAAAAGCCCTGGGAGGAACCACACTTGCTGCTAAAATAGAGATGTGGCCCAAAAGCTTTGCTCTGGTAAAGGCCAAGGAACACAGGCACTCAGAAGCCTGTGCCAGCCTGGCCTTGGCAGAGAAGCCCTTTGGGATGCTGGGTGTCCATGCCCCTTTCCCAGGATATTTGTAGTGCCTTTTACATGCTGTCTTGTCACATTGCCTGAGCGTGTTCCAGCTTTGCAAAACAGCAAAAAGATTGTTGTGCTCACAGGTGAGAAGTTGTGGAAGGGTTAAAGTAGTAATTGTTTAAATCTTTTAGGCTTTCCTCCCAGTTCTGTGGTAATTTGATGAAGAACTTCACCCTAATTAAATATTCAAATTAGGAATAAGTGTCAGTATGGCTTCCCATTGCCTGGAATGATGATTAATTGTATTCAAAACTCTAGTGGCCGCTGTAATCTAAACCAAACCGTTGTTCTTGATTATTTGTGCAACACATTTACCATGTTTTTGTTTTAAAATTTGAACTAGTAATTGATTTGCCATATGCCGCAGAGCTGCACATACTTCCACGATATGTGTTTAGGAACTTGGGGACTTTGTAATTGGGATTTTCTTGCTTTTCAATGGCAGCCTCTTTTTTTTGTCTTCTACAGTGCAAAATTATTTGGCTCTTACAACACATAAGGAAAATGTATTATGCAATCAACTTTGTAGGTATAAGTTATATTGATCCTGGCCAAAGTTTGCATTAATTTAAAATAAATTAGGCTTTGTTTCCCATTTCTCCCTACAAAGTCATGCTTTTGTAAAAGGACAGGGGGAAGGGGAGACCTGATTTCCATCCAGCAGTCACTGCCCTGTCTTGTAGGCTTGCAGCTAATGTTCTTCTTGGAGATCTCTCTCTGGCTGTCCACGTGCAGCTCAGTGGGAGCAATGGAATGCCCAGTTGTCCTACCTCAGGAATGGCAAGTGGCCCCCAGGGCAGGGATGCAGGCCATTGTTTCCCAAGGAGCCCTGTTACAGCCACAGTCAAGCCCCTGGTGTCCAGGCTGGGCTGGCACTGGCCCCAGCCCCAGGAGCAGTGGTGGGAGTGCTGCCCGCTGAGGGCAGGTCTGCATGTGTGCTCCCCGTCACCTTGGTGTGCCCCTGCCACCACGGGATTCCTCAGTGTGTCTTAACATCAGTCCCTGTGAAATGGAGAGAAAGGGGGTTCCCTGTGGAGCTGGGCAGCGAGGGCTGGGCACTCCTGCTGCTGCCACAGGCGTGTGTGTGGTCAGGTCCTGGCGGGGAGCGACTCGTTTGCATTGCATGTGTGGCACGTGCACCCCCTCCATCTGCTCTGTGTGTGTGTGTGTGAGCTGCCTGGCACGGTGGGACCCACTGGGGCTGTGCTGCAGAGATTTTTCTGCAAGCAGAGAGCTCAGAGCTGTGCTGGAAGGCTGCTGCCTGCGTTCTGGAGCCAAGGGCTGTGTGGTGCTCAGGCAGTGCTGCCTTGAGCCGGCTGTGGGACAGTCCCTGCAATGCCCTGGCTGAGGGGATGTGTGTCACCTCCCTAGCCTGGCAGTGGGCTGTGCAGGAGGGCTGTCTGGAGGGCAGGGGGTCGGCCTCTCCTGCAGCACAAGCTGGTACAAACTTCTAAAAAATACTCTCCTTAGAAATGACTCTTTTAAGTAGATCTGCTTTGTTTGCTTCCAGAACAATTCCTGCTGTTCTGTTTGTGGTGAAGAAAGCAGTTCCCCTACAGACCAGAGAAATTCAAAGTCTTTCTATTGGCTGTTTTGGTGCCTTGGAAAGTATTTTTGGATACTGCTATTAAAAACCAAATGAAAAGTGTGTCATGCCTACAGGCAGTGGTCTCCTATTTTAAAGTGTGTTCATGACAAACCTGCTTCTCCAGAGACTCTCATGTGGATTGTGTTTTAAACAGCAAACTGATAGCCAAATTCAAATATACTTTCACACCATCTTTTTTTGGTTAGAAATAGCTTTGGGAAGCACAAGCAGACTCAGACTGTTTGCTTTTTCTTATTTTATCTGTACTGTTCACCATCAGCTGCATCGAGGGCTAAAAATACATAGTTCTTCCCAAAATGTGTCCTGTTTTTAAAGACAGATAACTTCCAGATGATTCATGTGGTAGATAAAACCTGCTGGCTGAGGACATGGGTTTGATGCTCTGCTGGAGAATACACTGGGCCCTGTCTCACACACAGGGACTCCAGGAGGACACAAAGGTCACCTGGTTTTCCCTCTGGCAGGAGGGTGATGCTGAGGGTCTGCCTGTGTCCGGGTGAGGTGGGAGCTGCTACCACTGCCTCGTGCTGCACTGAACCCCTCTATGAAGAGGGAGCCTCTTCATTATGTGTGGCAACACAATCCTGAAGATTAATGATAACATTTTATTAAAATTCACACAGACCTGGGATCTGCATTAGAAAAATACAGATTTTAATTAAAAGTGAAAAGCCACATGGGCTGTTCCTGGGTGCTGGCTTGAGTGGAGCTGCTGTGCCTGGCCAGGGGCAAGTGCCCTGCTCAGGGTGGATGCCCTGCCAGGGCTGGATGCTCCACCATGGGTAGGTGGTCACTGTTGCATCCCTCAGTTTTTGGCTGAGCCCAATGCTCAATGGGGTGGAGGAGGCTGACGTTGCATGTAGAATTTGTAGACAGTTTTGGAAGCAATGTTAATATCAATATTTGCTGCTTAACCTGACTGGAGTCATCAGGCTGGAGCGAGCTGACAGCAGCAGCATTTTCTGCTCTGTAGTAACATCATCCCCAATTCCCCTCTCTCTCCCTCAGGCATATCTCGCTGACACTCCCGGCCAGCTTTCGGGGCAAGAGTCACAGCACCCGCCTGGACCTGGAGCACCAGCACTCCAACCTGTATGCAATCTCAGGTGAGCTGCCACGGCTTCTTTGCTCTTGTGGAATCAGAAGTGTAACCAATACAGCAGACCTGCACGTGCAAGCAACCAGGTGTGTGGTACCCATGGAACAGCATCAGCTTTTGATCAGTGCCATTTAATAGTTGAGAGCAGCTGGGGTGCAGAGAGGTATGCATGGTAGAGTCACACTTAGCCACGATTTTCTCTTTGTTATGTTGTTTTTGAAAGGGGAAAAAAATATTGCCTTTAAACCTGACTCCATCAAAACGTACTGAAAGTCCAGTCCCTTCTTCTGGCTGAAGGAGATTTTAGGACAGTTTGGAAACCCAGAAAAAACAGCAGTGGATTCAGTGGGCTGTGCAGTAGGTACTGCTTGTGCATAATCAGGGAAGAGAAGATGACAAAAATGTGCCATTCACAGGTTTTTGCTATTAATAGTGAGTGACACTTGTAACATGGGAACACGGCATTAATTCATGTACCATAATCAAAGGGTTATTTAAAAGGTAATCTCTGCCTGAAACTGCAGCTTCGGGTTCCTAAAGAGATAGAATATAAAAATTGCATAATTCTTGTCAGTCCTTGTTTTTCTTGTTACTCTCCTGCCCTAATAGATTTGGAAATGTAAGGGAAGTTGTGTTCCTGTGTTCACACGAGACAATCCTGCATGGAGATGGGAAGCTGTGTTTTCTGTCCTGGGAAAGCACCAAATGCCCAACAGCAACTCTGTGTGGGTGTAACTGCGAGAGACCCTGCTCCAGGGTGTGCAGGGCTGCCTCTACTCACTGCACAGCCTGAGGAGCCCTTTGCAAAGAGCCTGAACACTTTTCCAGATCATTACAGCCAAAGCACAAAACAGGCCTATGGAACTGGGCAGGGCATTAGTTCTCCATGTTTGCATGAGCACATTTCAAAGTATATAACTCTTATTTTTCCTTATTGCGCATTCTCGTCCTGAAATGCTGTTATATGAGTTGTGCATATGCTGTAATGGCTATTGCAGCTGTGAGCCCTTTCCAAAGAAAGAGTCTTGTCATATGAAACATCCCGTGCATTGGCAGGATCTTCGTGCACAGCTCCTGGCCATGGCTGCCTTGTCAGCAGCTGCAATGAGGTGCTGTGACAATTCCCTTTGTGTGCTTAAACCTTGCTGAGGTGGATTAGCCCCCAGACGGTGCTGTGGAAACCATTCCCAACTTTCCTGTTCCGTTGGTGTTGTGTGCAGCCAGTCCGGTCTATCTGCAGTGCTCGCTGCAGTGCCATGGCAACGGGAGATTTAGGAGCGCCCGCCGGAGCTGTGCTGCAGGCCAGGCTTTGCCAGGCCAGCTTTGCCAGGCCAGCTTTGCCAGGCTGGCTTTGCCACGGTGGGATCCCCGCCGGGGTGGGTGGGTGCGGCAGTGGCGAGTGACCGGTGTGGTGGGTGAGGGACACGGGGTCTCCAGCGGGCACAGGATTCCTCTGTGCCTGTGTGGCAGACAGGCCTGTGGGCTCCCTCTCTTGGCTCCCAGCATAGTGGAGCAGCTTCTGGGGCTGGTGAGGGAAACAAAAGGCATTGAGAACAGTCTCTTCTCTTCCAGTTTTGGTATTGCCTTCGTCCGTGGTGGGCACAGGAGGGGCTGCTCGGGAAGGGAGGGCTGGAATGAAGAGCTGCAGTATGGTCTCGCTGCACTCTCTGTAGACACCTAAGATTTTCTCAGTAGTCAATGAAAACATTTTAAGCTGGGGTTCAGCATGTTTGTGGAAGGTGACATGAATTTTGGCTGTCAGTCCTACTCTCTATCTCAAACACATTTTGGCAGAATGACCATTTCCTTCCTGGAACAGCCCATTACCCCTTGGACTGTGTAATGCAGTTGTTGTTTACACAAAACTGGAGTCAAGGAAAAAATGGTCCTGAAAGCAACAATTACAGTTTTTAACTAACCTTTTGTCATTACCAGTCTTGGCAACAAGACATTGGGTGACCAGAAAGTTAAGGAGGCTTCTCTTGATGCAGTAAACTAGTAAGTCAGTCCCTGACAGGGTGCAGATAGGGAAGCACTGCCCAGACCCCACAGCAGGAGCCTACCAAGTGCCATGGCAGTGCAGCACTGGCACTGCTGGTGTCATCCTTGTGCCCAGCACCTTTGCTGGTCCCACCTCGTGCCACACGTCCCAGACCAAAAGGCAGAATTAGTTCTAAGTTAATGTGCAGAAGGTCTGTGGGTGCTGCTGTGAGCGGGGTGCTGAGGAGCTGACAGGTTTAATGTGCAGCTGCTGGAAGAAGAATGCCTCACTCCAGACAGACCTGTCAGCAGACACGGCTCAGTATTTCACAGCACAGTCTTTTCTCATGGCCTTCAGCTTAATTAAGATGTTGTTGTGACTACATACTGCCTTCATTTCAGACTTGAGCATCTTCTGCCTGCATATTGCTTTGGCTTATCAGAGGCACAAGGACAGTGAGGGAGAGGCAGCTCTCGCAGGCAGGCACAGATAATAACATACAGGGAAAATTCCTGAATGAAGTGAAAAATTATTTATAATAATGGTACTCAAATAGAAGGGAAATAAGTCACTCTAAGGGTATATAAATTTTTATGATAGTGTATAAACAGCCATAGCTTGCCTTGTCTCCCATCTATCCCTGCAGAGAATGAGGGCAACATCTAGCATAAAGAAAAATATAATAAGAAAACGAAGAAATGAATGGGAAGAGCTGGAGGATTGATCACTCAGTGTATTTGTATATCCTCATGTAAAAGGTGCTGCTGACAGGTGGCCAGGTTTCTTCTGTATAAAACCATGTGTGTGCTGTCAGGGCGGTGTGAGCAGCCTTGTTTCGATTGATGAATTGCCTGCTTTCTTGATTAAACCTTCCGTCACTTACGAAACAAAAAACCTGTGTTTCGATGGCAGAGTGGGACATGTCAAAAAAATCTGTCTGCTTTACCTTTGTGCAGATGTTGGGCACAGACTGCCACATGTATTATTAAAATGAATGTGGCATTTACTGTGCATTATTTCTTTCCTGGGAGAAGGGACCTGTAAATTATATGCTAATAATAAGCTTTAACCCTTTCAGGAACTTGGAGATTTAGGAATGCTAATATTCCTGCAGGCCCCACTAATTGAATGGGCTCTAACACTGCAATGCTCTGAAGTAACTAAGCATTGGGTTCCAGCACAGTGTGCTGGTGCCTCTCGGGATCTTGCCTCCATAAGTTTTCTGCTCTGTAAGTGCCACTGAAACGGAAACCTTCTGGATTACAAAATCTGATTACAGGCAGAGTTGTCCTCTGGGTTGGAGCTTAGCTGTCACATCCCAAAGCATCACACACTTTATCCACTGATAAAGCAATGTCCATGCTGGGATCAAGGCTGCAGCACCAGCCGTTCATTTGCTGAGGAACATTGGGTTTTGGAGCAGTCATTTGATGCAGCGATGTCTTTGCATATATTTCTTACCTTAAAGGTATTATTATGTGATTGTCTTTAACCACATTACTAGCACAATTACTTGTGTGAGTATTTTTTTCTGTGAGAAGCTGGGCTGAGCACCAGGGAGGGGAAGCACAGCCGGCTGCCAGCATAGCCTGGTGTTGGCTGGAGGTGTGTGCCAGCACACCATGGAGGAGGAGGTTTCCATGGGCAGCTCTTACAGGTGCCACTTCCTCCACAGCTCTCCCTTGTTTATTTTGGAATCGCACCCCAGTATTTGTTACCTTAAGGAGGTAAATATTTACTTAAATGGGTGTTTATTATATTTTATATATAAATATTTATTTATGATATTTATTATTTGTTTCCCTCTTTAAGACACTTTCTATAAAGGCCAGAGCAAACTGTGGTCTGAGGGGTTGGAGGGGGAAACACTTGCAAGGGGATGCTCCGGTCCAGGTTCCACCTGCTGGGTCGCACAGGTGAACATTCCCAACAGGAGGCCCTGGGGCAGGGCCCTGTTGGGGAGGGGGCAGAGGGGCTCAGCCTGGTGCAGCCTGGCCAGGGCACGGGGGTGAGGTGAGCCAGGGTCTGGCCATGGCACGGGGGCGAGCGAGCTGGGGTCCATGTGCGGGAGGATGGGCTGCTCCTGCAGGCACTGCAGGGAGCTTGGGCGTTCACTCTACTCTGATTTCTAATCCAGCTCTCTGGAGGCAGCAGAGAGTAGAAAACTGATGTTAATGATCAGAAAAACATCAAAGCCAGTGGATTCCCAAAAAGGAAAGCAAGTTGCTTTTCCATGCTGGAGGTGGTGGCTCTCAGTGAGGGGCAGGTGTCACCTGTCCGGGCAGCGGCGTGGGAGGGGTTTGCTTTGCTCCTAAAGCAGCAGTTTGCTTCCTGATCCCTTCTCCTGTTTGCAGGGGCTGACTTGGGAATGTCTGATGGGATCTATCCTTTTTTTTTCCTTTTTTTTTTGTAATGACAAAAGTTTCTTTCAAAGGGCTTTCTAGATTTCATTACATTTCAGTGCCCATATGTCAACTTCCTTCTTGTTGCAAAATGCCAGGTTATCGGCCACACCTGCCACTTCCTTGGATGTCTGTTTTCTTTTAAAAGACACTCTATCTTTTTTCTGTGTGTAGGACAGACATTTTAATCAGATGTTAGTCATTTATTTTTGCAAACTATTGTTTTCCTTCATCATTTTTGCAGATAATTAAATGGCTCACTTGGCACAGTGTGTCTGCTTTATTAAAACAGGTAATTTTGAAAAAAAGAAAAATTCTATTTTTTGGATCAGTGCACAAGGATTGCTTTTATCTTTGTTGTCTGGCACAGTTCCTGGTGGTTCTGTGATCCCCTCCAATGTTTGAGGTTTTTGGGACCCCCACTCTCAGAAGGGGAAGTCTTGTGCTACATCTTACTGTTGGTCCCCATCCCTTCATTACATTCTTGGCACTTCTTAAGAGTAGAAGCGGAACTAAATTTATATTTTGTGACACTGAATTTTAATCAGGATGGTCCAAAAACCAGACAAGTTATGACACAGGCTTTATTCTGCATTGAAACCTCTTTACTGAGGCTGAGATTAA